AATTATATCTCTCAATTTCATCTTATTTTATTGCGCTGTTGTGGATCAATTGCGCAGAGAGTCGCGTCAGTTTGGGTGGGGCGTTCAGCTTACTGATCTTTCCAGCTTACTGATCCCGCACGTTAAAAGTTACTATTACGTAAGCTAGGTTAGTTCGCCGTTTATCTTATAGTAGCTATAAACTTTAGACTTCTAGCTATCTAGCTTCCCTCCTCTACTTAAATTTATCTTAACTACGCCTATCTACGCCTGCCTGCCTAATAGTAATAGCTGTAAGCTTCTAAACAGTCTGTCAATCAGTTCTATTATAGTAGGTGACATCTCCCACCAGCTTGCTCTTGCTAACTAATAGTGGCAGCCTAGGAACAGCTCTTCCGCCAGGATCAAGATCAAGCGCGAGCCCTTGCCGCTTAAGGACGACGTCGATAATGCCTTGGCCGCCTTCTCTCCCTCTAGTGCGGCTTAGCATATCTTATCCCTCCGCCATAATAGCCGTGCTTAGAGCATAAGTCTTCGCACTTAGTGATATAATTATTAAGTTCGCTCTAGTCGCGTCTTAACTAATAGCGAGAGATACGCGAATAAATTACGTTAGCGTGCTTAAGTTGTTATATTACGTATAGAAGCTAGAGCTACGGAGTTGCTGACTTAAGCTGCTAAGTTTAACGCTAGAGCCGAAGCTCTTAAGCTACGCGCTAAAGCTAAGGCTGTAAAGTTGTGCGTTGAAGCTGCTTAGCTCGAGCTCAACGCTATTGAAGAAGACATCTACAGAGGAGAGGAAGAGGTGCAATAAGAGGTGAAAGAGGAGCAGGAAGAGCGGGAGGAGGGCGATAAGCAAGATAAGGAAGACGAAGAAGACAAAGAATAGGTATAAAGGCTATTCTATAGCTAATACGAATCTAAGTAGTCGTGAGGCTAGTTTCTACAGACGCTATATCGGGCTTCTACCTAGTTATTTATCTCCGTAAAAGGAGGCGTCGTTACTGCTCTCTTAACGAAGAGAGCATCTAGATTTAAGGATAATTAGCATGTACTTGTAACGATGTTACAGCCTCGTCAAGTATCGGACCAATCC